AAAGAGGCAGAAAACGACATAGTTTAGCCGCGTTTGATCAGGCCTAAAGTGTGTGGGATTATTACGTCAAATTCCAGCAAATCCGCTAGATAATTTAACTCTCGGGTAAATAGAACCAGGGCGGTCCGAACCAGTGGGGACAGTCAAGACGATGGACTGACGGACGCGCAAGTGGGGGGAGGGAGGGAGGGATAGCGGACAGTGGCTGGCATTAATCGTTTTTCCAATTGTGACCTTAATATATGCGCGTTTATCCTGACCGGCTGGCCGGCCACCGACAAACATGTCTGGCAGGATATTAAGCATAGATCATCTGTTAACTGCCTTTCCACTTCATTGGATGCCCATTGGGAGACTGAAACCGAGCTTTGCGCTCGCTAGTCAAGTTAAATAAAGTCAAAGTTATTTATTATTCATCCTCTTGGTCGTAAATATTCAGGGTTGATTTATGGTAACAGCTGACTTTGTGAATGATCACTCATGCAACGATTAGAACAACGGAAGCGCATATAGCTGCGTTTATCTTCACGCGAGATTTATTGTAGCTATAGTTTCCCAGGCAGATGAACCTACCCTAAATGTATGCATAATTTGAACTTGTGAATGGGAATAATATCTCTTTTATAGATATCATTAGATCTGGTGGAATGGATCCGACAAAGCAAAGGGAGACAGGAATGGCCATTCCAGTCTCCCTTTGCTTTGTCGGATCCATTCCATCCTATCCCAGTAGTCGCTATGTGACTGCCTTTGCGGACTATTTGTGAGCTCCAGGGCGACACGGAACTTGATTGTTTCACCACCAGATCGGTGAGGTCCATATATTCCTTATTAGATCTATTTTTCTGTTGGTGTCTAGGGCCATATTCTCACATTTTACGCCTTCTTCATTGGTATTTATGCATAAAGGTGGGCTTCTGATCCAAGAATTAACCTAAAAATCCATAAACCGCATACGGTTTGAATTCATGAAAGTATCTCAAGAAATCTCAATAGGGGAACTTGACGAATTTCGCAATCAATTCCTGTTTCACCTGTTCTGCAGTTAAACTGCTTCTATTCTCTCCACTAAAAAGACATACTCCCAGGTAAAAATAGAATGTGTTTGTTCAGCAACGACTCTGTAGAATTTTATGATTCATTTCTTTGTTCTCAATTCTAACTGCGAGTGGCTAATTCTTGGCCTCACGATCGAAGTATATGCTGACACGACTAGTTAAGAGTGTTGACTTAGCAAATAATTAACCGACATAAACCCCAAATACCTATAAATGCGTTTGTCTGTCTTATGAAAGTACACCGGTCTGCTAAGCTTCCTCAATCCACTGTGCGTTCGGAATAGCTGCCTTCAAATTTTTCCAAATTTCACTCAGACTCTCCATGTTTTTGCTGACTGCATACAACTTCCATTATATGGTTCTGTCTAACGCGGTTAATCCAGTTGTACAGACTATGGGCAGGATGTAAACGTTGTCCATCAAAATAATTAGATTATTTTAAATAACCACGGACGCGGTTCGCCAATCCTACCTGAAAGTTAGCGCTTTAATAGAATACTATAAAGGATGGGGCAACTTCGACACGCATCTTCAAACGTTAACGGAAGTTCGTTTGCTTCACTTAACACTAGCCAATCTTGTTACGCTCAATGGGCAATATAATCTGCGTGTTTGGACTGCATTTAAACCCGGCAGAATTAATAGAAGAGAAATGTGATAAATGCAACCGACTGACCCATTGAACTCTCATATAATTCTTATGTCTTAGTCCCCTCCGGTCGCAAAGGTATTGTCCACCGGACCCGGCGTTCAGTGTGTCAACCCGAACAATCACGACCAAAAATCTTAGCCCCATCGATCAGGAGCAAATAACAAAGGTTGCATAAGGAACTAGAGTTTCGCTCGTGATTCAGGAACATATATGGTTTCGAGTTTATTTTAGAATCCGGTAATCAATTTAATTTGCCCATCGTATCAAGGCATCATGAGAGGTTGCCGTGGAAACTCCCATGACACGATGACGCACCTCATTGTATTCTAAAGCCTCTCGGTTAAAAGTGCTGAACAATAATAATAACAATTAAGTAGAATGAAAAAGTCGAGCAGGAAGTTTTGATCCGACCTCTTAGAGCAGTTTGAATTGCCATGACCATAGTTATATAGGGAACTCAACTAGCAGACCCTAACTACCCAGTTTATTAGCGGACCAATAGATTCCATCCCTAATTGTGGCCTAATGCCAGTTGAGCAAGCTTGTTCTGGTTCTTTGCTGAAAAGACTTTCCATTGGCTTCATTATTAAAAAACTTCTGCTCACCCTTCACGGTGTTAGCCAACCTTGACTCATTTAAGTGATCTGTAGAAATAATCACCACTGTTTTCGTGTTATGTGCCACCAGGGCAATCAACTATCGCCGGCATGCAGCTGGGTGGTTTTGTTAAGTGGCATATAAAGGAGGGTGTATAGTGATCACAGGATTTAAAGCCGACTCGATTGATGCTTCCAATGTTCCCTTTGTTCGAGAGTGTTGCTAGGATCCAATAAATTCAAAGGGGGAATTCAAGAGTGACGATCTATTTGGCTGTATGAGTCTACGGGGTGAGGGTTATTCCGCATCTATTTGAAATTGAATAGTTTGTGCACCGAAAATACATACGCTTCTTACCAAAACTGAAAATGCGATAATGTATCACGAAATCTAGAGGCTCTTGGACGACTACCTGAGTCAAACATTTTGATTAGAATTTGTAGTTGAAATTCGGAATTTGAAATAGAGGGTTTATCAGGGCTCTGAATAGGAAGCTGGCTCTTCCATCTTCCTCTAAGCTGTTGCAAAACGTTGCAGGTGGGAAAATCCGCCTTGCGATGACCATCGTCGATATGCTCTATTGTTTGATCCCATTCTCAAGCAAAGCTGGTAAGGTTCCTTCTTAGTCCAGCACGGCACATGAACGGTTACAAGCAATTGTTACTTAAAATACAAATAAAGAGGACGAATTCTTCCACAGGTGGGAATATGCGAGGTTGGACTAAATTTTCCCAGTCCTGTCGGCTAATTATTAACCACCAAACCGGACAATTAGTCTCGTTTGATGTTCAGTTCAGTTCAGTTTTATTAGGGAAATATA